AGGACATGGTTGGAGGTGGATCACTGTGTTGCCCAATTTCTTACTGGCCACGGCAACTTTAAAGGCAAATTGTTCTCATTTAAACTTATTGATTCACCATGGTGCCAATGTTCGACAGAGGAGTTGCGATACGAGCAGTCGGCCCATCACATACTCTGGGAGTGTGATCTCTGGCAATATGAACGTAACACTATGTTAAATAATTTAATTGTTTCGTCAGGTGTAGTTTATTATACGGACCTTGTGGAATCTAGAACGAATTTCCGTGCGTTTAGGCGTTTTTGCCATACCTATTATTGGAAGCAAGTATAACAGCTCACACATAGGACCCACTTGGTTTTTAGTCAAATTTCCGTGGTGCTTGGCGACTGGGCTTCACCCAGTTGTACAGTCACTTCTTTGTGCCTTTAGGCTTAATTCATTCTGTCTCCTGCAGTAATTCACCGAGGGAAGTGAAAACCATAGTTTTTCTTCCTTCTCCTCTTATAATATCTTCTGATTCACTTCGTTGCGGGAACCAAGACAGTTACTCATGTCCCTGGGACGCGCCGGACTTCAGTGTTCCTGTGTTTTCATGGTTGTATCTACTGTAGATCCTGGCTTACAGGAGTTGCAGCGGTTTTGGGAGGTTGTGGCGGGCTTGTCCCAATAAAAAAAAGGCGCATATCCGATTTGTTAGGCGTACCACCATGTCGTATGGTATTCTGAATTCAAATTTCAAACAATACGATGGTAAACTGTATCAGGTTTAAAACTGCATCAACAGTTTTTGTTCAATCCAGCAATCATATTTCGGCCATCGAAACCTAAACTCTAAGGTGGGCCAATAGATGTGTCCAGAAGCGTATACATAATTTTTTTTTTATTAAATTTTGTATTTCTGTTTATTTTCAATTATGGAATTACAGTGTTATTTAATTCTTATCGCTTCGCTCATCTTCGGAACATTTTTCAAGTACAGATAAGAATCGACTAACACTTCCATATTTTTTTATTCCATATTTAAAGAATAAATATACACCAGTAAAACATACTAAATGTCCTATATAAAAATATATCACAGTAATAGGTTTAGATATAAAAACTAAATGTAGATGTACTGAATGTAAACGAGTCTACTTCATCTTCATATTAAAAACGAAGGTGCATCTAATAATGTGGTAGAGGACGGCAGATAATCTACGATGTCTCTCATTAAAGGCGTACTAGATATAAAAACTGACCTACCTGTTGAGAAGGATATTGATGCATTTTTTGTTGGTGTTCATAGCTATGTCTGTAGCCTGGAGTGATAGGAGAGTATCTGTTAGGACCAGGCGGACCAGACCATACACCCATTTCTCCAATACCTAAAATTTGTACCAATCTAAGTTATAATACACCGGTCACAATTATTTAAGGAAAACAACAATATCTTAATAGCAAATGCTTATATTTTTACCTGGTTAAATGGTAAAAATACTTGAAATACAATATAATAATGAAAATTCATAATTATATTATTACTAGCTTTTACCCGCGGCTTCGCTCGCGGCACAAAAGGATAAAACGTAGCCTATGTGACATATACCAATACACACAGCGCCATCTACACTAATACTTTTGTTTTCCCTCGGGAATATCAATTTTTTCCGGGATAAAAAGTACCCTATTATTTAATCCAGATTCTAACTTTACCTCTGCAAAAATTCAAAGCAATCGGTTTAGTAGTTATGGCGTTAAAGCGGAACAAACAAACTCACTTTCTAATTTAAGTAAGGATACTTCTATATTCTAATATTAGTAAGGATATTTGTATTGTAACTTTCGTGAGACATACTAAATAAATTATTATGTTGTTGTATTTTGTAAATTAATATGAGCCTCTATCATGGCTTGAAACTAGTCGAGTTCCTCGTGAAATTATTACGTCAGTAAGCCGAAAATATAATAATTTATATATTATTATATATGAAGATAGATAACACATACGACTGACTTACCTGGTTGTTCAGGCATGGCATACATTGGGTCTGGGTGATATCCTGGGTATGAATGTGTGGGATGCACATGATGTGATGGATGCAAGGGGCCGTGCGGGGGTTGAGGCAAACGAGGTCGTGGTGGGTAGCTTCCATATTCATGGTAATCTGGCGCAGGGGGCCCTGTACCAGGATTTGGTACTGGTTGAGCACTGCCCGCAGGAGGTCCTCCAAACGAAGCCAGCTTCTGAATTGATGGTTCTTGCGGTACAGGATTTTGATTATATGGTTGTCTGTAACTAAGGCTTCACATTGAATATTAAGTCATAAATCAAAATAATAATGACATGTTATTATTTCCTTACCTGTTATCAGGTGTGTCTTTGTTGTCACCTCCAGTTACCCCTGCCGACGCTCCGCCAGCAAAGCTGTCTGATCCACCAAGATCAGTGAGTCCTTCCAACATACCGCTTCCATCATCAAATAAATTATATGAGTCCATCACTCTATTAAGAGTGAATTATAGTTTTTTTACCTTCAAGTATCCAATTAACATTGGGTACATCCATTTTATCCTGCAAATAAAAAGGTTTCGTTTTCATTTGTGAATAGCATTTGATCGTGTTAACATCATAATTTGCGAAAGTTTGTGACTTGTTGTGTATGTTTATTACGTACGTCAAAACAGTGGAAGGAGTCAGAATAAAATTTAAAACAGGAATACCTATATTATGATTATTTATGATCTGGAATACCCATAGGCTACTTTTAACCGCAAGCGAAGCCGCTGGTAGAAGCACTAGGTTTAAAATTTTAAGAAGTTGATACTAATCAACTTCTATTTGTTTGTATTCCTAATTCAGTGTTAGTAAATAAATATCTGTAGTACTTTTAATCCAACTTAATAACTTTTTACGCCCGAATACTGAAATATCTACTTAATTTTAGAGTATTTGAAATTTGACTGACTTTGAGTATTTGAACATTAGGCTATGTAAATATGGGAAGCGTTAAGCACACGTCTGGATAACGCGCTTACAACTTGTTGCCATGTGAACTGAACATGATCTTAGTATTATGAATAAAAATTACAAGAATGTGATTAAAAAGACAATTTGACCATAGTATTTGTGCTATGACAAATGTAAATTAGAATCAATTCTTGATATAAAAAAAATTCAATTCCATAGTGTTCATTACATTATTTTAATTAACCCATAAATCACCAAGCGGTCACCGGTGACCGCTTTCCACTAATATTACATTACATTATAGACCTTATTTGTAATTTTTTTTTTTTTTTTTATGGCATAAGCCGGTAAACGAGCAGACGGATCACCTGATGGAAAGCAATCGGCGTCGCCCATGGCCACCTGGAATACCAGAGGCGTTACAAGTGCGTTACCGGCTATTTGTGGATTAGGAGTTTGAGGATTGTTGGGGATTCAGGGATTGGGGAGATTGGGGAAGGGGAGGGAAATTGGGCCTCCGGTAACCTCACTCACGCGACGAAACACAATGCAAGCGTTGCTTCACGTCGGTTTTCTGTGAGGCCGTGGTATCACTCCGGTCGAGCCGGCCCATTCGTGCCGAAGCATGGCTCTCCCACACTTAAATGTAATGTTTAGAGACTACTTTTGTATGACCAAATTAAGGGGATGGATTTCAACGGGTTAAGAGAATGTTGAGTGTTTTGATGAGTGATTACACTTTCATATAGCCACAAAAACAAAACAAAATATTCCTGAGGAATTAGGTATAACAATTTATAACGAATGTGCAAAACAAATACCTATTTCAAATACACATATATTAAAGTTAAATTTAAGAATTTAACCATAATTTTAGATGTAATTAAAAAAAACTAGCTAGTACCAATATAAAGTCAAAGTCAAAATCATTTATTTCAATTAGGCCAGAATGGCACTTGTGAACGTCAAAAAAAAATTGAAAGTGAAGCTATTTGCTCATTCCAAGGTGTAGATTCCTATGGAGAAGATCGAGCAAGAAACTCCATAGGTTACTCTTTTTCAATCAGGTAATTAATGCAAACATTAATCTACTATTTACAATTAATGATTGTTGTATAAAATACAATAAAATAATACACTTCCGGACACCTACATCGAGCCACCTTGATTTTTTTGGTTTGGAGTACTGTAACTTGTAAAAAATCTATGTAGAAGGAAAATGTTTTGATGCAGTTTTGGAGCTGGTTTAATCAACATTCATTTAGAGTGCCACTGTTCTAAATTTGAACTACAGTTTATTAAAAAAGTCGAGTTACGTTGAAACAAGTCCATATTTGCTTTTTTTCAAAGAAAAAAATCTAATCGATTTTTTAATAAAAAAATGTTTTAAATGAAAAGAAATGTTTATTTAGTAACTTGTATTGCCTCCCCGTGCATTTATGACAGCTCTCATACGGTTTAGCGTAGAATTAATCAATGTCGTTATGACATGTTGAGGAATGTCCTCCCATTCTTCCAAAATTACATTTTTGAGCTCTATAGGATTCATATTAGAACTTCGCGCTGACCATCTCATAACAGTGAGACCAATGTCATTTAAGTACTGCCTGACGATTCCCGCAGTATGGGCCCTTGCATTATCATGCATTAAAACGAAATCTTGGCCAATAAATCCAGCATATGGCATCACGTGGTTCTATAAACATTGGCGAATGTATCTATTGCCATCTAGGGGCGGCAGTCGTGGTCCCGTTACTACCTCTAGCTCAGTTTTGCCTTCCATAGAGATTCCTCTCCAGACGGTCCATGATCCTCTACGATAACTCACTCTTTCGTCAATACAACATTGCGCGAAACGCTCGTTCTCTCTTCGGTACACTTTACTCCTTCCGTCATTACCGTATAGCATTATCTTGGACTCATCTGTGAAGAGAACCTGGCTCCATTGATGTAGAGTCCAATTTAGATGTTCGCGCGCAAACTCTAAACGGGCTATTCGGTGTGCTCGTGTCATTTTGGGTCCATTGGCTGGCTTATGGGGCTTTAAACCACGTTCATTAAGTAGCCTTCTAACGGTCCGAACATTTACAGCCACTCCGTGAAAAGTCCCTGAGCTGTTCTTGTATTTGAACAGAGGTAAGGCGTCGATTGCGTAAGCTGGTAGTGACAATGTATTGATCTTGTCTCGCCGTTGTCACCCGGTACCGAGGTCCTCCTGTTCGCCGAACGAAGCCGCCAGTCTCCAGGTATCGATGGTACACTCTTTGGACAGCGGAACGACTTATGAGAAGTCGTGAACTCACATCTCGCTGACTTAGCCCAGATTGAAGAAGTGCTACAGCTTGCGCGGCTACTTCAGGTGAAGTATCCATAATTTTATAGCCAAAAGCGATTCAAATTAAAGAAAAAAAACTAAACTAAGCTCTGGTGAACAAAAATAGCGAAAATTCAAACAAAATCGAAATTAAATTGCTTCAAAAGTAACTTTCTACAGCCATTATTTTTTTCAAATCAGTGACCAAGCTCGGCTTTTGTTTTTTATTTTAAAATCTTAGATTCAAATTTGGAAGAATACATACCAGAAAGACGATGAAATATGCCAGCATTAAAAATGCATAAAAACTTTTTTGTTATATTGCATATATTTTGTGTAATGGGTTTTTAGGCCCGGGAATGTAATGTGGCTCAATGGGGATGATGACAGGGTATGAAAATTAAAAATATAATTAGTCCGTAACTTAGGTAATAAAAAAATATTAGACACGTATTTTTTTATTTTGTTGTATAATAAAACAATACTTAGATAAAACGAATCAAAGTTTAGGAGTGGGGGCTAAAACGTCATTCCTTAGTATAAAATGTACTGAGAAGTGACGTCACGCGACATTTCAAATCAATATATCTTCGAAACTATTCGTTTCCGTAAGAAAATAAAAAATACGTGTCTAATATTTTTAAATAATCTACCAGACGGACATTAAAATAAAAATTAGTCGTCTACCCCATTCAAGTGTCCGGAAGTGCATAAATGTTGTGACAATTATTCTTTAACTTCAATTAGCTTTAAATGCTTAGGGCGCTTTCAATTTAGATGGTTGGTGCCGGACTGCTGTCGCACAGTTGTTACGACCATGAGCCGTACTGCTGCCGGACGATAGCAGTACGACGTAAATCGTCTTATTTGAAGAGATACGCGGCTGCAGTCCGATCGAATTTAAGTGATTTCCATCGAAACCCAACTTTAGTCGGTGCCATGGACTCTGACGAGGAAGTGTTATTGTTAGATCTCTTGCTTCGGCAGAAACATAAACGACGCCGTACTAGGGCGTCGCCAATGTTTTCTTTAAAATATAAAACTGGTGATCCGATTAATCTAGGGTAAAGATCTTTATTAATCTAGGAAAAAGAAAGCTCAGCTGATTTTTTGAACTATTTTAGAATGACTAGAGAATGTTTCTCTGAATTATATCACTTTGTTAAAAACGGAATACAACGTCAAGAAGCTAAATTCAAAAATACTATATCCGCCGAAGAGAGACTGGTCAACCAATTCGAGTTAAGCCAGTTCAGCCACAAAGTTATCAGAATTTGTCAGCCACAACAGTACGCGATATATTTACGGACTATTTTGTTAGCCCAAAAGGACAAGTATCGTGGCAAAACGGTAAAATATAAATAATACTAATTGATTACATTATAATATAATAAACTGTTTTTTAGTTTTAAAATCGGTAATAAATTTTTCACATAAAACATCCCAAGCCTTTTTTTTTCTCCAAGCGATTTGAATACTTGTCACATTTAGAATCCCAAACGGCGGGCTGCAACTCTATTTCACTTATAAAATCTTCTGTATTTAAATCATCCATAACTAGGTAGGTATGCATGAAAACGTCTAAGAAACACGATGCGTTCACAGCACTACCGAACAACGACTGAGCTGAGACACTGAGACAGGCTGTTGCCGTTCCGTCAACGGACGTGCGCCGCACTGCTGTCGCACGACTTTGCGTCGAGACATTTGTATGAAAAATCATAACCGCCCGTGCGCAGTACGATACCCGGACTGCAGCAGTAGTCACCAAACGTCTAAATTGAAAGCGCCCTTAATGTTCTTTTGTAAAAGCACCCTTAACAGTATAGCTTTATTATTACAAACAATAACATTTCATTTTTAAATCAAGTTTAAAATTTGTTTAATATAAAAGAACAAGAAGATACTCAAACTCACACATTAATATTGTTCCTCTAGACTAGACTACTGTTTTATTCGACACTGTTCTAAATAGTTAATTTACTAGATTCGAAAAAGGAATTTTGTATATAATTAGTATGTTCAAAATAATCTATGTATATATTATTTAAATGCTATAAAAGTATAAACACATAAATATTCTTTTATATGTTTGTCCAGCAGTCAAAATATCGTTCTAACAGTTACTCATCTGTAACTCTTTCACACATATTTCTTTTTGTGTAAAATTTTACTTTCACAAACATAATACATATATTCAAGTTTTCTTTTCTTCGCATCTTCTTTGTGATGATACTGGCTTGCATAACCAAGGGGAAAAGCTATACGCTTATGACTTTACCAAAAACATATAGCGCTACAACTTCTCCCTTTCAGTTACACAGCAATCTTCGTAGTTGACAATGGTTTTCTACTCTTCAAACATAAACTTACAGCAGGACTTCAACCATAAATTGATTGTAATCATAAGAAAAATAATAAAACAATATCAATTAGTCAAATACCTATCATGAATTACTTTTTGTGCATCAGTTCCAGAATATATTATTATTTATTTATTTAAGACAACTAATAAAACATACACTTTCAAAATTGGAGAATCATGTCATCATTTTTCGTACTTTCGTATAACAACCATTAAGTAGTTGATAGGACAATATTTATACATCTATACAGATAAATAAAATTGACATATCTGTTTGCAATATTCATATAACCGCTTTTTACTACATGCATATTATGGATATGAATATACATATGATACATATACAAAATAACATTTTTTTTTAATTTTGTGCGTTTGTTTGTACTGGCTAATCTTTGGAATGGCTGGATCGATTTTGCAAGACTTATTGGCAAACTAGCTACTTCCGCGCGGTTTCAGACGGTCTGCTCAGCTATTGGTCGTAGCGTGATGTCTTATAGCCTACAGCCATCCTTACTAATATTATAAATTGGAAAGCGAGTTTGTTTGTTTGTTTGTTCGTTCCGCTTTCACGCCGTAACTACTAAACCGATGGCTTTGAATTTTTGCAGACGTAAGTTAGAAGTGTAGATTAAATAATAGGGTACTTTTTATGAAAATTTTGATATTCTTGAGGGAATACAAAAGTATTGGTATAGATGGCGCTGTGTGTATTGGTTTATGTCACATAGGCTACTTTTTATCCTTCTGTGACGCGAGCGAAGCCGCGGGTAAAAGCTAGTCCTCAATAAATGCAATATCCAACACAAAAAGAATTATTCAAACCAGACTTGTAGTTACGGATATTAGTGCATTCAAACAAACAAACAAACTCTTCCGCTTTATATAATAGTTTATCTTTATTATAATAGTTGATGGACTAAGACGTAGCATAGGCTACTTTTATTTTGTAAATTGAAACAAAAAAAGTTATGTTCTAAAATTCATATTCTGAGCGGACTAAATCACAGGCAACAGGATTAACTCGTCGAGTACCATCATTATAGACAAAATTATAGAACAATAGGTTGCGGTCACCGGTGACCGCTTGGTGTTTGACAGTTTAATAATGTTTGTAATAAAAGTCGTAAACTTGTAACTTATATGTACCTATAATGTTTTATTAAATTTCTATCAAGTTAGTTATAAAAAATAAAACTTGAATTTAGAAAATAACTGCATCGAAATTTCATGTTATAGGCTTATCAATAATGAATATAATGGAAAAAATTATTATACAAGATTGTAAGAATTGTTTAGCTGATGATGACTGACACATGTGTTCCAAAATAATGGCCAATAAGAACTGTCGTAAATTATTATACCATGTGGTAAAAATTAAAAAAGCAAATACTTTATATTAAATAATATTAGAATTTTATATTTAACCGACTCATTGCTCGATAGGTTTTGGGTGTAACACAATAAATACATAGCTCTGGGCTTCAATTCGCTGGGTGAACAAAGTATTTAATTGTTTATAGTTTTCTAGTATTCGCTGTGGTACCCTGGTACCTAGAGTTATGGATTCTAGCAAAAGGCTCACCTATTATATACCTAACAAATAGTAACTGGTGTAATTTGGATAAAATTACATTAAATATGTGCATTGCTCCCTACATCTTTGAAGAATAAAATGATGTGTGATGTGGTCACACATTTTTAAGTTTCTATACCCAAATGTTAAGAACCCTTATACCCTAAGAGCCCTATTACCAAGAAGTCAAGATAAAGTTGTCAGTCCATTTGACATTAGGCTTTCTATATCATCTCATTTACCTATACTTACTAATATATAAACCTGAGATTATATTTGATTGTTTGAATGTGCGAATCTTTAGAACAAATGACCTGATTTGAATAATTATATTTGTGTTGGATAGTGTACTAATGAAGCTGAACAGCGGGTAAAACTGCGCCAGACTAGCTAGTTTTACATTATTTTGCACTCTAGACACTTATCATTAGAAAATATTTAAAATTTTTTTCAATTCTAGTTTGCCAATTTTTTTTAAGTTTTATAGCATGTCCTGTCCAGTAAATATAATTTTAGAAATCACATTATAGATAATTATATTTAGATATATTACATATACCCTTCTCAGCAAAAACAGAAGCATTATCTTTTTTTTGACCTTCACTGGACTGTTACAATTTTAGTATTTGTTTTTTTATTAAATTTCGTATAAAATATTAAATATTCAAATAAAAAAACTGAACAATTAATCAAGTTAATACAAAGTATATTTTCTTCACAATTATCATGAGCCCATTCCCATCCACTGTTGGACACAGGCTTCTCCAACGGCTTGTATGCAATGCATTAGTTAATATATTAAGAACTTGTCTAGCTACAACTTAACATTTTTACGATTTTAATCAATAAAAATAACTTAAAAATCACACTTTATGTCTATTACAATAATAAGCAGTAGATAACTGCTTATTGACAGGTCAAAATTAGTATTTTTATGTAATTGTATTTTATCAAAATCAAATCCATCATTACAAAGGACATAATTTATGTATTACATTAATAGGTATCTATGGCGTAAATTATTGAACATGGACAGGCATTGCAATGAGTAGGTACTAATTTAAAAAACCATACTTATCTAAAAGCATAATTTTTATATCTAATCTAGGACGACACTGAGGAGACACCATCATTTTATATAAACCTACTTACTACATAAACCTAAAACACATAGGTACAATAGATTGTTATGTAGTAACAATACCTGTAATGTATCATTGGTATCCCTTGCCCACACAGAACGTGTTACCCCAAACAAGCAGATTTTATTTTATATTTAACTTATTGAAATACTCAGAATTATATTCTAAGAAATAATGTAGACAATACTCACTATAAACGCCACACAACAAGTTGATCACAAAATGGATACCATACTCCAAAAATGTAGGTCCATAAAATTTTCAATGAAAGATCACCGTTTAAAGTATAATATAACGGCTAAATTAACTTTCACTGTACGTCCTCCGTATTATTGAGATTAAATGCCCAACTAAGCATAATAACTCACATCACTAACAAATACGACAAACGCCATTTAGACACCGTCCATTTTGTTTCCCAAATGAGTTTTTTTACATGTGCGCTTTCCATAAATGTTGCTACATTAAAAATCATAGTAGTTATTTGTATTCGCGCTATGTACTTAACTATGGTAATTTATTGTAGCAAAATTCCATTCTTCTTCCATATAAAAAAATATTAAATGATAAGATAATAATTATTGAAAAGGTAACAATCGTAAACGTCTGACTACGACTGTTTTAAATAGACTCATCATCATGTATTTTCTATTTTACTCAAGGACGTTGATGGAAGAAAAGACGGACATAGTCTCTTCAAACAGGCGAGATAGTGGAAAAACGTTTGCTTACAAAATATATGTATATAAAAAAAATGACTCTGGCACAGTTGACCTCAACAACACTGGCCACTCTTTAAACCTACACCATACACCCACAATATACTAGACTAGAGTGTCAGACTCTTACTGACTAAAAACCACCCCGTTCCTTCTCCTGCCCGTCGAGCCGGAGCCCCGGTTACCCGTTAGGTTCTCCGCGACACCCAGAATATACACACATTGACACGAAGGATATCTGTAGCGTGACATGGTCACACCATCATTACACTCAACTACATTCATGAAGCCGGCTATACACTCGCGCTACGAATGGCCGCAAAAGTGTTGGTTTCGGCCAAATGTTATGTATAAAGGAGGCCATACACGCTAGGTTTTACATGGTGGTATTAGCCGTGCATGTCTAACCGACAGGCAAGCCCTAGCGTGTGTGTGATTAAAGGAGGCCATACATGCTAGGTTTTGCAAAACCGAGCGTGTGTGGCGTCCAGCGAGCTTGCCTGCCAGTTCTCAGTTTTTTTTTTCTTAGTTCTTTATGAGGGTGGAACTGGAAGAACATACATAGTTCGCGCGCGGATCACCGGCATTAGAGTCCATTTCACGAAAGAAGTCCCGCAGACGCAGCGCTGTATTCGCGCGACATAATGTTGCCACGGTTAAATTTATATAGTATGGGGAAATCAGGAGAAATTGACATTAGTTTGATTAACTACGAACTCGAACAGTTCGAGGAATATTTTAAAAATAATGTCTTTTTATATAGGTATTTATGTTTATACTGCTAAGGTCAGATTAGTGAAAAATTAATCTTCCTGTAATTTCTAAAATATAAAATGGAAATAAAGTTGTTCAACCAACATCAAATTAGAAACATAAAATAACATTTAAAAAGTTTTATTGAATAATTATAATCGGTCATACTATGATCACTGTCAGAAGAGTGAATAGAAACAGAATTAGATTCTGTTTCATTATCACTAGCCGTAGATATAATAAATCGATGCATTTCTTCATCCATAAGACCATCACTTTTTAAATATTCTTCCTCCAAATGCTGTACATGTTTGCATTGAACTGCCCAATCTTCCGCTGTAACAGTCTCTTCTGTTAGGCGTACAATTTCTTTTGGATCTTGGCCCACGTTTTTAACCGCTACCCGTCTGTTTATAACACACGACTCTCCGACACACCTGCAATAAAATGAACAATTTAAAAAAATCTAACAGTGACTTTTTCCGCATTTAATTACATTATTGTTGAATACAATTTTACAAATTTTTGTTGTGTTATGTTAATTCCTCATTAAAAAAACTTAAGTCTAATTGGTAAAAAATATGTTTAATATGGCAGCCCCAAAATTTACCTGTTATGGCGGCAACTCTTTTGCGAACATTGTCTAATGGTATTAAAACGGCGCGATTCTTCTGTTCCGCTTCACAGAACTCTTTCACTTTTAATATCATTTCTCGACCTGCACTTTTTACAACTTTTGGCATCGTAAATAAACCTTATAATGCACTAATTTAATAATAAACTCACAAAATATCTACCACAACAAACCCACCTTGACAACATCGACAAACGACAACATGGCCGAACTCCCCATTTGTCAAATTTAGTTCCACAATTGTCCGCGGGACTTCTTTCGTGAAATGGACTCTATTCACGGCGCGACATCACTAGAGCAGAGCCAACACACACTTATTTACACTTCTGACATTTTGTTGCTTCACCAAATCACCACTCATGATTAGAATTCATTCTATGTGATAAACATTACGTCTGATCGCCTTTTTTTTAACGTTCTTGATTTTACTTGTACCGCCTGTACGTTCGTATGTAAGTACTAAATTGCTAAGTACTACGTATCCAAAATATTAATATTTACGAACAATCTAAAAACCAAGGCTAAAGCCAAAAACTAAAGACAACATCCTAGGATTTAGATAAAATTATGTAGACTGTAGTCCGCTTATAATTTATCTATCGTCAGTGTTCTCTGTTTTTATATAGCCTGTGGTTCAGTTTGAACAAGAAGTCAAGTCAATTTGACAAAAAAAAATTAGAAGTTTAGAACTGCAACATTTTGAGGCGGCGGCTCCAGGAAGCATTCTTGTGTTTTGTAGTGAAATATTTTCTTTTGTATGAGCGTTTATTAAAAGTTTAATTGTATTGTCTTTTAAAGTAACGTGTCTTTATTACCAGTTACAAATGATGAAATTAATCGACCCAGTTGTTCGAAGTTTCAAAGTGGCTAAAGTGTTTCGAGAAAACACAGACAAAATAAACAGTATAGACTTTTCTCCTACTGGTGAAACATTAATATCCTGCAGTGAAGATGATCAAATTGTCATATACGATTGTGAAAAAGGCACACAGTTAATCACTGTAAACAGTAAAAAATATGGTGTAGATCTAATACATTTCACACATGCCAAGAACACTGCCATACACAGCTCAACAAAGGTTGATGATACTATCAGATATTTGTCACTTCACGACAACAAGTACATAAGATACTTTCCTGGTCATACCAAAAAAGTTGTTACTCTTTGTTTGTCACCAGTTGAAGATGTATTTCTGTCCGGATCATTAGACAAAACATTGCGCTTGTGGGATCTTCGCTCTCCTAATTGCCAAGGCTTAATGCACTTGTCAGGAAGACCTGTAGCAGCTTATGACCCAGAAGGCCTTATATTTGCTGCAGGAGTTAATTCAGAAAGTATCAAACTCTATGATTTGAGATCCTTTGATAAAGGCCCTTTTGTTACATTCAAGTTGAATCAAGAAAAAGAATGTGATTGGACTGGATTAAAATTTTCACGAGATGGTAAAACTATATTGGTTAGTACAAATGGATCTATCATTCGACTTGTCGATGCTTATCATGGCACACCTTTGCAGACCTTCACAGGTCACCTTAATAATAAAGGAATACCCATAGAAGCATCATTTAGTCCAGACTCACAGTATATCTTCAGTGGCTCAACTGACGGAAGAGTTCATGTTTGGAATGCTGATACAGGCTATAAAGTGTGTGTTTTAAATGGTGATCACCCTGCTCCAATACAATGTGTACAATTTAACCCCAAGTTTATGATGCTGGCCTCTGCCTGCACCAATATGGCATTTTGGTTACCTACATTAGATGATGTTTAAAATTTTATATTACTTGTAGTGAAAATCAGTGTTATTTGTCAGTGTTTTAAAAACTGAATAATTTTTAAATTATTTTTATAATTAATGACTCCATGTTATAAACAGTTATTTACTGCAATTAGGTGATTACACACAGTTAATCACTTCATAATTTTGTGTTCCAACACAACTTGTTGGATTTATAAGTAAATCGTTTTCAGATTTACTTTAAATATAAAACATGTTACAAAGTAATGTCTTTTATAAAGCTGTCAGTTAAGAATAAATGGCATGGCATTACTTTTACTGGACTACTTTATTTCAGATTTTGATTCGATAATAATAAATAGGTCTCCCTTTGTTAATGAAACAATTACTTATTTAAATATAGTGAAAATAATTTGTATAACTAGGTTTTTTTATAAGATTAACAATTTTCACAACACAATACATGTGATTTATGGCATAAGTATATATAGGTACACCTGTTTTGTTTGGCCAAAAATTATGATTGTTTCTAATCAATTTGTTTTTATCAAATCATCAAGATGTGATTTAAAAAAACTTGCACTGTTGTTTGCAACATATTTTTAAATATTTGGCCAAAATATACAGAAGTAAACAAAAATATCATGAGACTAGAACTTGTCATGTACCTAGTAATTTTATTCCTATCTTAAACTATGACCTACATAGGTATGTGATGTTGATGTAACTATTTGGTTAAAAGTGGTTTTAGTAGTCATCATCGGGACATATTTTCTAATAGAACTAAAAAGTATGCATTTAGTTTTCATTCCAAAGGAACATTCAGCTGTATTATTGTACCAAGTAGGCAAATGTAACACCATGATTTATGGAACTCGTGTAATTGTCATCATTTCAAGAAAAATAAAACAATACATATTATGAATTACATCTGCCTTTTATTTTATTCTGAAAGGTTCAATTGCATATTGACATCGAAAATTCTAAAGATAGGTATCAAAAATAAAAGACGAGTGTCTTGCGTTGAAGAAATAAAAGGTGAATGAGATTTGATAGACCACTGTATATTCACATGTTTGGGCTGTTACAGTTAGCCAAGGTAAGACTGCCGTACCTCTTCATCCCCATGAGACTATAAAGTTCGTATTACAGTGAAAAGATAATAATAATATAATAATAATATTAGCAAGTAGTAAGCTTGCTAATAATAATAGCTTGCTAATAATAATTTTTGTGTGTTTGTTAGTTAAATAGTCAAGTCAAAACGGCTGAAGCGATCGGGATAAAACTTGCAACAGGAGTAGATTATGAACTGGAACAGAGGCGTAGCTAGCACCGTATGACGTATACGGGGCCTCAAAACTTGCATAAACAAAAATTAATAAAAACTTCCCTGTTGAACAATTATTGTCGCGTACAGCATGCTAGCAATGTGATTATTTGCGACAAGCTGCTAGCGGCTTTACCGACGGCCACGTTGCCTTGGGATAAAAAGATGGCCGAACCCCATAATAAAAAATATTTGGGACAATGACGTACGACTATAGTCATAATAATTAGGTACCTACCTACTTTAGTTTTTCTAAAGTTTCTTCCTTTGAAAGTTTGAACCACATCTAGGTAATCTAAACAGATGAATAAAATTGAAGTGTCTGTTTGTTAAAATAACTACATGCATAACAATATGCATACGACACACATACCAAAATAACATTATTTACATTTTTTTATCGGTCTGCTTAGTACTGGTTAATCTCTGGAATGGCTAGATCGATTTTGACGGGACTTTTATTGGCAGGTAGCTGACGTACCTACTAAGGAGTAACATGGGTAACATTTTCTTATACGTAGGTATAATAGTAGGTACATCTACTTTACTAACGCTACTTTTATTTTGGAAAATTGAAACCAAAAATAAGTTATGTCCTAAAATTCATATTCTTCGGCTCTACGCGGACGAAATCGCGGGCAACCGGGCAACAAAAATTATATGTCATATAATTTTTATACTATCTGTTTATTGTCATTTATACTGTTTATTATCATTAGATTGTAATTATTTGTAATGTATATAGATGTCGGACTATTGTCTACGGATGGATCTCGACGCTTTCTTTTGGCTTTTTTACTGGCTTTGCACCTTTAGCGGCCTTTTTAGCGGCTTTTTCTTTGGCTTAGCAGAAAAAGACAACACATCATTGTCATTCTGACAATAAGTTTGTGACATCATCAAAATACCTGAATAAATTGACATTTTAGGTCACTGGTAGCAGTGCATAATTTGTGCCCTTAAAATAGTGGTTTAGTAATAATTGGTTATATATCGATAATTTTATCTCAGTCATGCAATTGGCCCTTTGTTAAAACAAAATTATACACTATGTAAAGTAAAAATGTGTTGATTTATGATATGACTGCACGGTTGGTGCGGTGGCTGGGCAACCGGCTGCCGTGCAACGTGTCGCGGGTTCGATTCCCGCACGGAACAACACTTTGTGTGAACCACAAATTGTTGTTTCGGGTATATTACTATATATTACTATACTACTATACCCTATACTACTATACCCTATATATTATTATACTCTTTGGTCATTGTGTATGTGAACTTATGTGTTTGTAAAAGCAAGCACCCACGACACAGGAGGAAATCCTAATATGGGGCAACGTTTTTTAAAAATAAAAAAAATTTACGTAATGACAAAATACCATTAAAGCTATAATATGAATATGAGGAACTGATGATTGTGTATCATGTTGTAGTTGTGTAATATTTGGAATAGTGTAACCACAAGACATTTTAATATATATATATGTCGCAGAATCAACAAAGATGCACAACTATCGAGTATCGTTATTTTAGAACAACGCTATCTGTTATCATTTGTCGGAAACGTCAAACAGTGTGCTTGGGTGATGGTCGGTACGGAGCGTGGCATGTTGACATTTGACAGGCGTCACTTTTGAGTTGGACACGAGGGTGAGCGGTTGTTCTGCCAGCTCGTATCGAACTTACCGCGTTTTCCAAAGTACCCCCAATGGGTGCATTTTCTCCGACATATATATTGTTATATATTCGCTATAGATATTATGAATCCCCCACAGGAAACGAATTTCACCCGAACAAATATGCAGGTGGTAGCTAGTTAAAAAGCAAAGCTGTATAAATATGTAATATAATAATTAACTTTTATCGTTAAATCAATTAAAATCCAATAGCAAAATATCGATACTTTTCTACTATCCTAAAAGTAACATCCCTAGTTCAATCCTCCATTACAAAGCACAAGGGAAGTTTCTGGGTAGGCACGTATTTTTAGTGGGTGTTTTCAATCCATTAGATTACAATGCTATTAGTCGTCTCGTCTTAATCGTGCAAAAATATCATTTCATTAATTAGGGGCGCAAAATGAAACGATTTATTATTTACAAAATTAATAAAAGAGATTAAGTTCAATTTTTTAAGTTATGTTTTTCCTATTACTATATTACGGTATTAAATATAAACCTTTTATAATTTCCATAAATAACATTAAACTAAGTAAATACCGATTAAATATTTATTAAAATTATCAATTTATTTTTACAATAATATAATGTACAAACTTTTCTCATAATGCGCAGGCCCATCTTACTAATAATTTTGTACTCTTTATTATAAATAAAAATAAAAATAAATAAATAAAATTATACATATGTATTATCGCGGAGAACCTAACTGGTAACCGGGGCTCCGGCTCGACGTCCAGGAGAAGGAACGGGGTGGTTTTTAGTCAGTATATTTCAAAACTATTGCTGTAGATTTTTATATGAATGTCCAGTAAAGCCGTAATTTAATATTATTTCAACGTTTTGTGACTGATTTCCCATTAATCTAAAATATTGTTTGATTTCTACGATATTATTGTATCGATCCAAGTCATGCATCAACCTCTGTGGTATTAATGCCAATATTTTATCATTTTAAAGCACTGATATGATAAGAGTATGGATTAGAAACAACTACGAAAAATAGTGCCTACATAAACTTCACTTGGTATTCACACACTGTAATGGCGGATAGAACTAGGGATGTGACTTTTAAAACTGTAGAAATATCGATATTTTAGAATTGGTTTTAATTGACTTATCAATAAAATATCATTGTTTTGTGATTCATCTGGATTTAATTTTTATCTTGCTACTAAACATTACCAAAATATTAGCGAAATATATTTAGTAGTGTCCATACATTCACATCATATCTTTCACGATACATATTATGTATCAAAATATATGAAAAGGATTTCCTATCAACTAGTCAACATTTACATACTTAAGGTTAAGTAATTTTTGAGGGTTGAAAAATAAAACTTTCAAAGTATTCATAAAATCAAGATTTATAATATACTGTAAGGAAACGTCGTCGGTTTGACGTTTGTAAAACTGTCAAATTCAATTGACAGATAAGACAACCTACACTTCCGCCCGGGCACTTCCGCTCGGAGCAGCATCGCGAAGCGAACCGGCGCATCACTTTTCGTTTCGTCTAAACTTTCTTTTCGTTAAATTGTGTGTAGCCAGAAATCAATAACAACAAATATTGTGATTAAAGTTTTAGTAATATTAAATTCATTAGTTTTTTTTGTAAAGTTTGTTTTATTTGTTTATAATACAATATCTTCGTATTTTTCGTAGTGTTTCCCTGTACCGAATGTAATTTGCAAAACCATCTTTCGAGAATACTCCAGAACTGGTTCCAAGTTCATTTTCATGCATGTGCATGAAAATGAACTTGGAACCAGTTCATTTTCATGCACATGCATGATAACAAATAGTGACAACCTGCATGATAACGGAACGAAACAATACACATGTCTCTTATACACTATCAATACCATAAGTAAAAAAAAGATGAAGATATGGAGTCTAGTTGTTATTTTAGCCTGGCTTCCATGCTTTAGTTATTGTTCCGAGATAATAAGTATTACCAAAGAGTATAATAAGTATAGGACTTATACTTTTTACGTCAATTAGAAAGCGACATTATATTTTGCAATGAAATCCAAAAATTTTTATATTTATCTAATAACTCGAGTTAATTACTATATCGTTGGCCGAGTGGTCGCAAGTGCGACTGCGACTACCGGGCAAAGGGTCTCAGATTCCATTCCCGGGTCGGGCATTACTGGTTTATTTTTTAATCTCAAGCTCACCAGGGTGTAATACAACATAACTAGTGAACCACTCACAACATAAATAGTGAAAAGTGGGTGTTATCTTGTACAATGTCAGTAAGTGACATAATAGGAGCTCCATCTGGGGTAGGCAGAGGTGCACATTACGGTTCGGGAATAAGTACAAGGCGTGATGTTATGATGATCGTATTAATTATCTATACATATAATAAATCTGTAGAAAAGTAATTTTTGTACATTGAACAAATTGAAAAAAAAATAGCCAGCGCGTTAAAAGATAACTATCATCATTTTTGAAATTATTGTCTGTTTGTTTGTGCGCGCATCACGTAAAATCTACGAATTCAATGCAGACATTGATGATATACAAAAATTTAGTTTTTGTTTCATCGAAATCGGTTCACTCTATCAGAAGATATAATTAATTTAGTGAGTTCAAGATGTAAAATATTGCAACACGCAATTCAGTATAGTACTCGAAACGACATCTTTGGAAAATTGGTTTCGTTTGGTCATTGGTTTGAAGTCCGAAGTAAAGATACTACGTATGATATTTTAACTCGTCGAGTACCGGTTTTGTAGACACAATTATAGAACAATAGGCTGCGGTCACCGGTGACCGCTTGGTGTTTGACAGTTTAAACAAGTAGAATAGGCTATTTTTTTCAAGGGGGGAAAATTATCGAATGACTGTTCCCGTCTGGGTGAGGCGGGAGGGAGTGTCAGACTCTTACTGACTAAAAACCACCCCGTTCCTTCTCCTGCACGTCGAGCCGGAGCCCCGGTTACCCGTTAGGTTCTCCGCGACTCCGAAT